AAAATCAGAGGGACTTGCAAATTTTATTTTGTCCCAATATTGTTACAGGACCAAAGAAAAATCATCTTTGTTATGGTATCCCACTTCATCGAAGAGTTTTTTATCCACTATTAGTTCAAAGTGTAACCAGGTTTTTCCTTAGGAAAGTGTATTGCTTGGGAACTCACCTCAATGAATCAAGCCAACTCAAAAACAAACAGCTGTAACTGATGCAGAGTCCCGGTGTCAGCTATCATGTGTTTCTAACAAACCAATTTTGTTATTCTATATTGTTTTTTTTTTTTTTCAATCTTGATACAAATTGGAAACTTTGTTTTATAATTTCTGGTTGTGAAACAGTGTTTGTCTCAATCCAAGTTAAGATTATTTCTCACCAGAAATATTCTATTAAGAGTACTGAGTATGATTGTGTCAATAGTTGTCTTTTGTTTGCCATTTCAGATTGCTTTGAGACAGTTTTCCACAGGAAGAGGCGTGTCTGTCTCCAGTATTCAGTCACAGTGAAATCTCTGAAACCCTTGCAACTGTTGATACACAACACCCCTCATGTTAAGGTGGCTGAGAAAGAGCATGACCCAAATGTCTTTTTGGACGAGTATGAATCTTCAGGACTTTTGTGTGGTGGCACAAAAAAGAATGGGACAGTAAACCACAAAGTGACTCATGAGGAGTTCTTAAAACACTTAAGCTCTAACTACTTGACAAAGAAGCAGATCACATGGGATGCAATCCAGTCCAAGATTCAAGAAAGCATAGCAAAGCTCTTTTATGCTGTGGCACCAAGTCTTTCAGCCTTTCAAGGACGAAGCGGAAGAAAACTCTGTGCTGTGTATGGCGTAGATGTACTGCTGAAAGACACCTTTGAGCCTCTGATCATTGGCATCAACCCTACACCAAAGTTTGACAGCCAAAAATGTTTTGCTGATGTTTTGATCACAGCATTTGGACAGAATGGGGAGTGTTTAGAGAGTGCAAACATCAGCCAGATTTCCGTGAAAGAAGGCTGAAGTTTTTTCCCTGAGATGCAGTTTTTCAAAGTTTTTAAGGTATCCATCCAATTATGCTCTTGATTAGTGTGTACATGTCTGTAAATAATATCAAGTGATCAAGAATTTTGTACATAGTATCTTAGATGTTCTGTGCAAGCAAGGATTTTTTTGGATTTACATTTAGGAAAAGTATTTTGCTGTATCATAGACTTCTTATGGATGATGTGATTTAGATATGATCTGTCTTAGGAGACTTAAAAAAGTAATGTCAGGATCACACGGCAAGGAAACTGAAGGAAACATCCTGATTTGAGGGTGATTTTTGGTGAAAAAAGTTAGAAGAAAAATGTTCATTTATACAATTACTTACAATGATGGTAAATAGCTTTTGCATGGTTAACTCTTCATCTTCCTATATGGTAATTAACCCTTGACACCCTAACATCAGTATGCATATTCTCCATACTGTTCTCTTTACATNCCAGATATTTGGTATCTTCTTTGCAATGTCATGAAAAATAACTTCCAGTTCCTTTAGGGTTAGAGATTCTCTCAGTTTTCCATCAAGGATGTGCTTTAATACATGCTGATTAATAGCTTCCCCGCCTGAATTGGACAGGAAAATGAAGACCATGTTCTGATGGCCGCTCTCTGCTTTCTTGCCGCGGTAATCCAAGAGAGCATCTTTGATTGTATTCATCATGCCAAGGTGAATTTTGTCCATTTCATCAAATATAAACAAACCTCCTTTTTGACAATGTGAAAAATTCCCTCTGATCCACTTCAACAACTGTTGATTGTACATTTCTACTTCTGATCGATGGGGGAAGTGGAGTGGAATGATAAACTTGTGCACAAATGGGCTTTTGGTCTTGTGCTTGAAAAAATGTTTCATGATGACATTGCCAACAAAGTTCTTCCCAATTCCAGTCCATCCATGAAATGCTAATACAAGTGGCTTCCTGGTGTTTTTGGAGTCAAAGTGATTTTTGAGTGCTGCAGTGACAATCTTCTGAGCAATGTGTTGACCAAACAATTCTGACTTGAGTGCCAACCCTATACCAGAAATGTTGTTGGTGAACTCGCTATCCAGACAAAAACCATGAGGGTTAACATGCAGATATACTGAGAGCAACAGTGCACATAGAGTGAAAACCATTCCCATCTTCACAAAGCCTTGCAAGGAATGTCGCTCTCTCTGGGAAGCTGGATCAGGTAAAAGCAACTCTTCTGAAGATTCCTTGTCACTTTTCAACTGACATTTGGTGCCAGAATCACTTTCCTCATCATCACTGAAAGAAAATGCTTGCCTCTCTGTGGATGCATTTCTAGAGACAAGCCGATAACCTTGATGAATTGTATTCTGCACAGAAACATCATCAGCTTTCTCAGCAATGCCATCATGTTCTGAAATCCTGTTTTTATTGCTTGCTTTACCATCTGACAGCTCATCATCAACTGTTAGATCAATTACTTCTGCCACTTTTGGCACAAATGATAAACAGAGTTTATAGCTACTTTGGGTGGCAACTGGAGTTTTTGTACTTTTACATCCTTCCCACCGGTCATGGTCAGATTCCTTGTTTGGAATGCCTTCCTCATCAGAACCATCTTCCTCATTGGCACAACTAAATAGTTTAACAAAATTAGCAACTGAATCTAGTGATAACTCCTTCACTGAACTGCCAACTAAAGGTGATTTTGTTTGCGAGACTAATTCAAAATTCAAGCCCCGGCTAAAACTAGTTAGACCAGCTTTACCAGTTGGACCACCCCTACCAGTCACCCCATGTCTATCAGACAGTCCAGCAAAGGGCGTACTGAACGTCGGGCAAGACATTTGTTTAGACAGAGGGCTAAATAAGTGTTTCTTCGAAGGGCTTTTGTTTGCCTCCCTAGCTTCTCGAATGTGTTTTGCTGCAAGGTTTCTTGTCAAATCGATATCTTTTAGTCCTATGGCACGTGAACGCTTTCCAATCACAAGTGAATTAGATCGAGGAACAGATTTGTTTAACCATTTTGTACGTTCACTTCCCTCGTAATGAACTCTGCTTCCTCGAGATTACAAAACAAGGCTTTTTGAGGTTGACTGGTGTGAAATTGATGAGTTTTTAGCACGTGGAAGAGGTGATCCGGAGAAACTTAATCCAGAGCTGGAGTCATGATCAGAGCTAATTGAAGTCATATTTGATTCGGGGTTCTCCTCGTCGGAATCGAAACTCGGGTCTGGGTCGCTTTCTGGACTTTGCGGACTCCATTCCTCATTCTGCATTTCTCGATACCTTGAACAATCAATGGGCGAAAAGTCTACATTGAAATAAGAACTCGCAGACATTTTGAAGAAATCAGAGAAAAAGATTAGGACTGGTATTGCAGTATCCCTCTCTCAAATCCCTCTCCCTCTTAGGGAAATGTTGTTTTTCCTCACAGACAAACTTATTAACTCAGGCGCAACACAAATGAAGTACGTAATCTTTTTCTGCGGTTTTCCGCTAAGTCCCGCCTGGGTAAGTTTTCATGTGTCATCATCCTCGGAGACCCAGGGGCAGTGAGTGGATTTCAAGTTAAGGGCACAAGAGCCCCTGGGGACATTGTCTTACAAGACTAGTTCCAAACGGTCGCAGTCGTTCTGGCATCTGATTGGTGCCAGAAAATCTTTGTGTTTTTCTGCCCAATCAGAGGGAAGTGTGGTTTGGAGTCCTTTCGTGTGTGTTTAACACGCACATATTCATCAAACTCTGTTGCTCGCTATGTTTGTTTGGGCCGTGCGACGAAGCTTTGCGCGAGGTGAAAAGTTTCAGTCTCAGCAACACAATGTAAGAGAAATCGATCAGATTGTCCGCGAAATCTTACCGGAAATTATACTGAATACTTTCGCAGGTATCACAAGAGAACCACAAATCGATGAGTGCTATATTGGTTTTCAA